CCCCCCCGCCCCCCCGCCTCCAACGCCACCCAATGACAACAAGCGGAAAAGAAAGAAAAGAAGCGGGGGACAAAATAATGCAATCTTGTTAAACAGGCCCAAAGCCAATCTGGGGCATCTTCCATTCTCGACACAGCTAAAATTTTGACCATACATTCTATTCTGGCGAAGACGGAAGGAGTTTCTGGTGTGAATCGGGCTTGACAAGCAAAAATACGTTCAGGAAGTGTGATTATTATAGGTCAAGGCCCTTTAGGGTTCTCCTCCAGACAACACACTCATGGACAATGTTTTTCTTCCTAATGAGTTCCTAACAGTACTCATCAATATTATACAACCATCTTCCCCCTTACACAGGGGCATAAGTCTGATGATTCAAGGTTTAGGGTTGGATGTACCATGGCACGCTGGACCCGCTTTCCAGCAGGTGCTGCTCCCCACCAATAGACCGGAGCACCCAGGTCTCTTGCTTTACAACAACAACAACAACAACAACAAAAAAAAAAAAGGGTTGTCCTTGACAGCCATATATACACCTTGTAGTTCTGCCTAATAACACAACCATCTTCCCCGTACAGAATGCACCTGGATCATGAATGTAGTCAAGTACAGAATACGAATACAAGCTATCTTTCCCAGTCCGATACAGTCCTGACAAGGGCGCATTGTGTTCAGCGGAAGACGGTAAGCTGAACATACGACCGCCCCACTTATTATTAGCATATAGTAATATACCCTACCGTGGTTTAGCCCGAATAGAACGCCCGGTCATTACCGCTGTGTATCTATAGACAGAAAGTTGCCCCAAATGGCAAATACAGCTACAATGACTGCATGTCCTACTCACTGCAGCTTCGGGGGCGTCAACAGTGTTTCAAGGAGGCATCTTTCGATGGACTTGTTGTGCTCCATGTTACTTGCGCTTGTGGTACTCACTGCAGCTTTGGAGGCGTCAACAGTGTTTCAAGGAGGCATTTTTCAAGTGTTGATATAGAGATCAGACTGTTTCATTTTTTTGACTGTCTAAACTCAAGTGCGCTTTGTTGTATCAGATACCAAAGCTGCTTCGATTTTGGTTATACTGAAATTTAGTAATTTACTCATCTGGGTGGATTTGTGGTGAAAATTCAAAACACACTCCATGTTGACTTGGAGTGCACATAGCACAAAGCATAGCACACACGTAGTACAGACAAGCGCATAACACAAAGCATAATCACGTACATGATACACACAAATGCTACAAACAGACAAACTACAGACACAAAAAATCCAAAGAGTAGTACAGACATACACATAGAATGCAAGCTGTCACATCCACAAAGTATGCAAGCTGTCTCTGTCACACCCACAAAGTATGCAAGTGACCCCGACGCAAATGCTTTGGTAAATTGGTACAACATAATTGATACACACACACAATCTTGCAAACATATACATAACACAAACACGCACACAATCTTGCAAACATACACATAACACAAACATATACACATAGTACACATACTACAAACATAGCACACACAGAGCAGACACAGCGTAGACACAGAGTAGACACAGCGTATACACAGAGTAGACACAGAGTAGACACAGAGTAGACACACAGTAGACACAGAGTAGACACAGAGTAGACACAGAGTAGACACAGAGTAGACACAGAGTAGAAACAATCTTTTGCTAACATACAGATAACAAACACATATACGACACAGTGTACGTAAATAGTACGCAAATAGAACGCAAATAGCACACACATAGCACACAAAGAGTACATACACATAGTACGCATAGTACACACATACTACAGACATAGGACACACAGAGTAGACACAATCTTACCAACAGACAAACACAGTACTCGAAGTACACACGTACTACACACATAGTTCACACATAGCACAGAGATAGCACACACAGTACAGACAATACCATACCATACAACACGATGAGTATGGGTAGTACACACAGCACACCCAGGGTAGACACGATCACACACCACACACAAGCGTGAGTACGCATAGTACACATAGTACACACAGTACACACACAGTACACACACAGTACACACACAGTACACACATGGTACACATAGCACCACACACACAGTACACACAACCACATACCATACACAAGCATAATTATGCATAGTACACACATAGTACACACATAGTACACACATAGTACACACATAGTACACATAGCACACACATAGCACAAACAGAGTACACAAAATCACATACCATACCACACACACAGACATAGTAAACAGAGACACAGTCAATTCAGAAAAACCCACACAGTTGAAACATGCACCTACAGTGTCACATCCATATGGTGTGCAGTAGTAGACACACAACACACACAAACACAAAGTTACAAACACATGCTCCGACGCAGTCAATAGGAATACACAAGACTTTTTTTCTTTTTTAAGTTTTTTGAACTTCTTTTACTAATTTTTCTTTCCTTTTCTTTTTTTTCTTTTGCATACACACAAGCGTACAAACTATACACGTGCAAAACGACAGACGCATGTAGCACTTACAAAAACATGCAAACAACACTCACAAGAATGAAGATGAGAATGTCCTTCGGGACATCCGTTAAAATTGGAACGATACAGAGAAGATTAGCACGGCCCCTGCGCTTTCAAGGATGACACGCATAAATCGAGAAATGGTCCAAATTAAAAAATAATGAAAAAATAAAATAAAAAAAATGAAGATGAGAAGGTGAAGTCTGGCAAAACAGTCCAGCACAGAGACTCGGCACACCACTGGCCAAATGCCAAATGCCAAATGCCAACAACATTATGAATGTATCGGCACGGAGTAATTGGTCCGAATGCATTCAGAATTTCACAATGCTGGCGTTCGACGGGTGGTGCGGCGAGGACCACAGTCATGCTCTCGTTTTGTGGACTTTTGTTTAGCAAACAAGCTAACAAATAAGTTGAAATAACAATGAATTCTGCGCAATGAATAAAAAAAACAAGTTTAAAGTTTAAACAACACCGATGAATCCAGCACAGACTGGATCAGTAGGTTCAGTACTGTTTGGTTGCACAGAGGAAATACTGGAATAAACTTCAATAAAGCATATTCACGTATTTCCGTCTGTTCTCCTGATTTCTCTGGGAAATAAGGTTTTGGACTTGAGTTTGGAGTCTGGACTGTGTATAGCCCGATCACAAGCACTTACACTACGACTTTGTCATCTGGGACGGCAAGAGACGGCTCCGGAAAATCTTTCTCAAGAATGCCGACAATGACATCTGAATCAGCAATCCACTTGTCTTGGTATTTTATAACAGGCACCTTGCCCGAGGGATTCGCCTCCAGAAACCTGCGCACAAACATGCGCACAAACATGCGCACAAAAGAAAGAGAAATTGACAGAAAGGAAAGCCCAGAAGTTATAAGGATAAGTTCATCCGTTTATTATCTCTCTGCTCTTAAAGCAAACAGCGGGTCTCACGTAACGCTTCCCACGCAAGACTCCGCTCCCAGTTGGGCCCAGGTCCGTTCGGGCCAAAAGCCTCCTTTTTGTGGTGCCCGACTTTTGTTTCCAGTTTGGCGACGAGTGTTCGGACATCATTTTTCCGCGGTTCTTTTTTTTCGCGCCCGACTATCGTTTCGAGTCTGGCGGTGAGTGTTCAAATATTGTTTTTCTCGCGATTTTTTTGTTGAGTCTGACGCCGACTGTTCGGGCCGAGGTTGGTTCAGGCCTGTGTGAATGGAGTTTCGGCGACGTGATTGTGCAACAACCGTGTGGAACACTCGGGCGGAAGGCTGCTGTTAGCACGGTTTTATAAATGGGGTCTTTTCGGCCGCGGGTTTGTGGACTGAATCTACAAGTCTGGCAGTGTACATCTCCATGTTCTAGCAGACGATTCATTCGATTTTGCTCATCCTAACGATGAAAGTAGCGTGAGGCAAACCGCGGGGTTGGAGACTTACCTGCTGGCCGGTGCGTTGCTCATCCTATCAATGGAAAACTCTCTCTCTCTCTCTTTCTCTCTCTCTCTCATAGTTGTTTTTCAGATTTCTTCAATTTTTTTTATTTTTATTTTTTTGGTTGGGACCTACTTTGGCCCTTGCACGCCAGGCCGGGCCGCCCGGGCAAACAAGGTCACCCGGGCGACCCAGCTGGTAGCCTAGTGTGGCAGTGTATATTTCCATGTTCTGGCTGAAGATTCATTCCGATTTTGCTCATCCTACACACACACAGACCGACATTGCCACGCTTCACCAAATGCACAAAACGGGATTAAATCTTATTCTAGAAGATGGAAGTATCCACTGCCACAACATGGAAATATACACTGCCAAAGACCAAAAATGTGGCAGTGTATATTTCCATGTTCTAGCGACAGATTCATTCCCATTTTGCTCATCCTATGGATGGAAAAACTCTCTCTCTCTCTCTCTCTCTCTCTCTCTCTCTCTCTCTCTCGCGCGCGCGCGCACACGCACGGGGGGCGATATTTGCATCTGACAGCTCCTTAGTCTATACTCACACCGGGATTTCTTTTCAATGTATCTGTGTCCGTCAAGGTGCATCTGCCTATGGTCTTGCGGAAGATTCCTTCGCATGTTGCACATTGGCAGCCTGCTCAGTTGATGCACACATGAAACTGTTGAATTGCAGACGTGAGTTCGAATCCAGCGGCAACCACAATAAAATAGTTCTGCGCGTCCCTCATGTTCTAAAACAAACACCCTCAATGTTGGCCGGGCCAGATACTGGCCGTGCCTAGGGTGGGCCTGCGGCTTCGCCGCAGCACGTTCAATTGTATGATTAATTTATTATATATAGTCAAACAGAGCTGCCCGGCGGTAAACCGTCGGCAGAGAGGGATGGAGAAGACGACAACAAACGAGAGCTGCCCGGCGGTAAACCGTCGGCAGAGAGGGATGGAGAAGACGACAACAAACGAGGGCCTGTTTCGTCTGAGTTTCACCGACTAAAATTCAGGCTGCCGAGTTTTTGTTCGGCCTTCGCAGTTTCATCAGCAGATTTGTTTGGGCCTGTCACTGACCATGTCAGGCAAGGCTGACCAGGTCCAAACCTCGGCCAGCCTACCCGATGTACCCACCAAGATTTCAAAAGCCAAAAAACTTGGCAAACAAAAAGGACAACAAAAGGTGTGGTTTTCCTGGCCAGTGGGTGGGCTCCCTGTCCATACCAGGCAACAAAAAGGACAACAAAAGGAGGGGCTGACCGCAAACAAAATCAAGATTTCAAAAGCCAAAAAACTTCCGTCAGCAAAAAGTATTTTCATCCTGAGTTTCAGAAGCAAAAAAAATTCAGGCTGCCAAGTCTTTGTTCGGCGGTTTCCTCAGCAGATTTGTTTGGGCCTGTCACTGACCATGTCGGGCAGGGCGGGCCAGTCCAAACCTCGGCCAGCCGACGGGATGTACCCGCCATCGAAGGTCTGGTTTGCCTGGCCAGTGGGTGGGCACCCGATTCCCCCGGTCGATACCGCGCAACAAGGGTGTGGGTTGCCTGGCCAGTGGGTGGGCACCCAGTCCACTTTCTTTTTTTTTTTTTTTTTTTTTACCCAGTCCACTTCTTGAACATGTTCTCACTTTTTTTTTTACCTACGGAAAAACAAAAAAAAGAAGGAACAATGACCAACGCCACAGGCGATACTGGCAGTTTAAGCAGGTGAGCCCTGCAAAGGACCACAGGGCACCAATCAGCATATCCCAATCCAACCCATTAAAAGCATGCTTGAGTGTACTGGGGGACAAGTGTGAGAAAGATGAAGGGTTTACCACCATCACCTCGGAGTGTGGATGAACGTAAAAGCAGAGCCCTGACTCTTTTTTTTTTTTTTTTTTTTTTAAGCAGAGCCCTGACTCTGACTGTGTATTCCAGTCCAAATAATAACCCCTGGAACAGGGGTCATTTTGAACCACTACCAGGGCTACGATAGTGGCCCGGGACCACTTGCCCGGCCATGCCAAAAGAAAAAGAAAAAAAAAAAAAGATTTTTTAACATTTTTAATTTTCATTTTTATTTTTAATTTGGTAAAGCATTTCGATGTGACCCTGAGGCTAAAGTCGTTCAGTTTATTTCTCTGCATAACATAGTTTCTTTTCGTTTTTTGTTGTTTTGTTTTGCTGGGACCTTCCTTGGTCCTTGCATGGCCAGGCCGCTCAGGAAAAAAAAGGTGACCCGGGCGGTCCGGCTGGTAGTCTAGACCACTACCCCACCCCCCCAGCCCCCCACCCCCCCCCAAAAAAAAGAGGTTCAGTTGCAGGCTTGCAAGCCTAACTTGGCTCTCATGTGAACTGGCAGTTTAACCCGCCAGTACCCCAGGGGTTCTTAAGCCCCCTCTGATGAACCTCTGACGCAAATGCACACCGACCCACACGGTGCACCGACTCCGCCACCGCGTTAACCGCCTAAAAACGTGGAGGTACTAGCGGTTTAACCCGCCCGCCACACCGTCGGGTTAAGGAACTAAGACTTGGGTAAGAAGTTGGACCTGGCCCTTAATGCTGTTTTTTTTTTTTTTTCTTTCTTTCTTTTTTTGGAACCCCCCCGCCAGTGTTAGTGGTGCTGATAAGAGCAGACACCACTAGCACCTTAATGCTGTTGATTGAACTTGATTCTATTTGTGGAGCCTGCCCAATATCCACCTGGACAGTTTCCACATGCTTCATTTTAAAAGGTGGAAAGTCCCTACAATTAAATACAGCACTGGTTTGATCACAAAGGTCCGACGCCACAAAGAGAGGAGGTGAAGAGGTGCTGTACGATTCCGGAATAGCTCGAGACACCACAGCATTTTCAGATGCTAGAGAAAGTTGAGAAACCCTTTGGAAGTACATCCATGTTCTCCCAGGCAACACGGACATAAACGATCTTCATCTTACCATGTACTCGAGCATTCATGCATTCTTGTATTCAATGGGACGCTGGACCCGTTTTCCAGCAGGTGATGCTCCCCACCAATAGACGGAGCCTGTGTTTAAAAAAAAAAAGAAAAAAAAAAAAAAGAAAGAAAAAAAAAAGAAAGGGGAGGCCCTACCATTACTGCAGGCAACAGGGGAGAATCCGGCCCTATTGTACTCGATACAAGGAACGAGGGAGCCTCCGCAGGTCATGCTGTTTTATCCCACAGCAACAGGACCCAAGGAGGGACCTCGCCCAGGCCATCGATACTCACCCCGCTTATGAAAAGAGAAGCGACCACACCTAGCACTCAGATCGGATGGCCGAGCGGTCTAAGGCGCTGGAGTAAGGTTCCAGTCCGAAAGGGCGTGGGTTCAAATCCCACTCCGGTCATAGATGCAGAAATTATGTCCCTTCGTTGTTTTATAAAAGAAAAAAGTTGAAACACTTGTTCATTACTGTTAAGTTTTTGTTATAAAAGAAAAGTTGAATGGTTTTGTCACTTTTGTGTCCATTTGTTTTATAAAAGAAGAAGTTGAAAGTTGAGTGTTTCACACTTATTTATTAGTATTATTAGTAATTTATTACCATTTAAAAAAAAAAAAAAAAACTTTTCTAATACTTTTGAAAAAGAAAAGTTGAATGTGCAGGTCACACACACATGTTTATTAAACCACCAAAGGTTGATTGAGACACAAGTCCAACACGTAAACAATCGAAATGAGCACAACAATTGGAAAAGAGAGAGAGAGAGAGAGAGAGAGAGAGAGAGAGAGAGAGAGAGAGAGAGGGGGAGGAGGAGCGTCAGAGAAGTAGACAAGGAACAATCCCTCGGTATTCCCGAAATGCGACCAATCGGCCGAATAGTATTGCAAAATAAGACCGAGTACATCGAAAGATATAACTTGAAGATCGGCGCAGCGACCCTACGCTGCGTTTCATCCGGCCGCCAACCGGAATCATCAGGGGTCTAGTACGTCGCTTAGGAAAGGGACTGAACACATAGAGATCCTGGAATAAGTACCAAATCAGAACAGAGCCAGRAAGGAAAGAAGAGAACCAGAAGAAAAGTGAACGAGACTTCTAGAAACTTCACCACTAGGACCGAACGGTGGGAAGGAAAAGGACAAAAGACAGGACAAAATCTTCCAGGAGAGAAAACCGGCCAGACCCTGCCACCTGCAGGACCCAAAGACCTTCGCGACGAACAAGAAACCGACAGTCCAGACATACCGTCCAAACCAGGTATACCCACTTCCCAAGCAGTCTTATCTTCAGACCATCCTTTGCGAGGGAGACCCCCTATCATCGGGAAAAGTTTTTTATAAAAAACAAAAAAAAAAAAAAAAAAAAAAAAAAAAAAAAAAAAAAAACGAAAAGAAAAGAAAAGAAAAGAAAAAGAGAAACAAGCAACAAACCCTTCTAAAAGCGACATCGT